AACACTAGAATCCAGTCCTCTTGACATGGAACCCAGTGCTCCTTCCAAATTGACCTTTAAAAATTAGAAATATCTTTCCCAGAATTGGGGTTAACATGGATTCTGGGGGGACTGCCACATAAGCCTCAGTCTACCCTCTGGGTTTCTGCAGCCACAGCAGAACTTTCTCTAACCGAACACGTCAGCAGCAGGAGCTCATGGTGGGCCAGGGGCAGAGCTGAGTCCCTTTGGGTCTCAGTCCTAAGAGCCCTGAGCCACACACCTGTACCTCTTTGCCTCCTTTTGTGGATGAGGAGCCTCAGGCCCAGAAAGGTATGGTCCCTCTGCATGATACAGGCAGAGCTGGGACTAGAATCCGGCCCAGCTGCCTCCCTGTGCGCTACGCCTCTCTACAACCCTTGCTCTGCGACTTGGGGATCTCCAATTTGAGCAACACCAAAGAATCAGGGGTTTTACAGGGTAGCCGCAGTCATTCATGAGTTTCACAGGGAAATGCAAGTGACCCCCATATCAGACTGGTTTGTACCCCAATCCCTGAGGAATAAAATATCAAAATTTTAAATAAAGGCAGGAGCGGATGCGTCAGGACTAGGGTAAGGTACATGAGGCCAGGTTGTGCGGTATAAAGTCAGACTCTGTCTGTATTTAAATTCTGATATTGTGTTCAACAAAATGTTTTTCTAAAATTAATTTTTTTTTTTTTTTTTTGAGACAGTCTTTCTGGGTTGCCCTGGTTGGAGCGCAGTGGCGCAATCTCAGCTTACTAGAAACCTTCGCCTCCTGGGTTCAAGTAATTCTTCTGACTCAGCCTCCCAAGTAAGTGGGACTACAGGCACGTGCCACCATGCTCAGCTAATTTTTTGTATCTTTAGTAGGGATGGAATTTCACCATATTGGCCAGGCTGGTCTGGAACTCCTGACCATGTGATCTTCCCACCTTGGCCTCCCAAAGTGCTGGAATTGCAGGTGTGAGCCACCGCGCCCAGCCTAAAACTAATTTTTTAAAAACACTGCATTAAAATCGCATTGATCTGGGTTACCAAGTATTTTGGTACCCCTTTAAAATTTATACCACAGGCCAGTGCCTCACTGCCTCACTCTAGAGTCCTGCCCTGCCAACCTGAACAAGTCCAGGACTTAGGTGCTTATGAGGACCCTTGAAAACAGAGGCAGGCTGAGGGGATGTCTGGGCAAAGGAGCAAAAGTAGAAAAAGCAGAATCGAGCCCTAAAAAGACCAGCATGCGTATGAAGACGATGGGGTTGTGGGAAACCAACATAGTTCAGAAGATGCCCAGAAGGTGCCCAGAAGCCTTTTGGGGGCCTGGTCACATGCCCACAACTGGAGAGCACGCAAAGAACCAAACACGCCCCATACCTTTGAAAATCCTGTTAATGGTGAGAGGCTTGTCTCCCTGCAGCGAGCCCTTCCCTCCTTCCAGGCTGAAGCCCAGCCCTCCAGACATCTTCTCCAGTGTCACCGTGCAGACTGTGGCCTCTGCTGCTGAGAAAAACACAAGGTCTTTGTGAGGGGTCTTCTCCTCTCCCAGACCACAGGTGCCGTGGGCTTCAAGTGAGCCCAGAGTGGTGCTGCCCCCCCATGTTTGCACACAGGCCCACGTAAACACAGAATACATCTCAGATGGTGTACTAGGCAGGCCACGCATTCTTGGGCTCACAAATTACTGAGCAGCACCATCAGGTCCAGCCCCAAATGGCCAAAGAGGATGTGGCCCATGGGGCTTCCGCTGAGTGGGGAACTTACTAGAATCTACAGAAACATCACTGGCTGCAGAGGTTGAGGCTGCAGAGTCGGTGGAGGAGTTGAGGTCGGGCACGGTCTCTGGAGTCTGCTTCCTTGTGACAATCACAGCTTGCCTGGGCTCGCGAGCTTGGCGGAGGATGGCCAGGGCGTCATTGTGCGTGGTCCCCTTGAGAGACTTGCCGTTGATGGAAAGAACCTCACTGCCCTTCTGAATAGTCCCTTCCTGGGAGGCCAGCCCGTTTGGAAACACTCTGTGAACCTGAGCAAACCAAAGGAAGTCAGGACCAGAAATCGCTCAAGTCCGCATTCTTGCTGGAGGAGGACTGACCCGTTAGTCAATGCTAGAGGATTTTCAGGCCAACGAGGATTAAAGGTAATTGTGTCCTAGATCAGAGCTGCTGGAACAGAGGCCAGCATTCCCTCCTCCTCCATGCAGAGCAGAGATCTCCAGCAATAATGACCAGATCAGCCCTCAGAATCCATCCCAACACAGTGTCTTAAACTATATCACCACAATTCCAGTTGGCATTCCAGTTAAAATCTTTTGCCTCGCCTACCCTAGGTCAGAATTCCCCAAAGTAGTTTTCTCAAAGCACTATGGCATATTAATGTGTATTGTGTAAGAAAAGGGCTTTTCCTATTTTTAAAAAATAGAGACGGGGTCTCCCAATGTTTCCAAGGATGGTCTCAAACTCCTGGGCTCAAGCAGTCCTCTCACCTTGGGCTCCCGCAGTGCTGGGATCACAGGTGCGAGCCACCACACCCAGCCAAGAAATTTTTTTTTTTAATCAAAGAGACTTGAGGAATACTGGGTAAACAAAAGCTCTGAAACAGTCTACTTTTAAAAAGCAAAAGGCATTGGAGAGTCTACAATGCAAATTTGCGTGGCAGATTTCTAAGTATTGGCGGGGTATTATGGGGATTCCCAAAGTGTTTCAACAAAGAATCCTTTTCTTGTAGAGAAATTCTCAGTCTCACTTGGCAGAATGCATTTTGAGAAACTCTCTTAGACAGTCTATACATTTTTCTAGCTCCTCCCCTAGAAATTCTGACTCTTTACCTCCAACCACTCCTTGTTCCTCTTTCTGCAAGATATGTGGGATAAACACACACGGAAATCCCATGTCTCAGCCTCTTTAATGAGGTTCGTTATTAATTAAAACGAGTGACTGAGTGGTAGCATGCATGGAAACCACTAAAATGTACCTGTAGTTTTGCTTCTATGATGGGAGCAAAGCTCTTTGCTTCTCTAAATTATTTTGGTGTTAGAAAAATTCTGTTACATGGTTAGAATCCCAAGGCTGTAAAACCCAAGCACGAAGCAGAACCTCGCCTCTGAACCTCAGGTTCCTGTTCTATAAAAAAAGCAAAAATGCCAGGAATTTATCAATACAAAGTGTGGATAGGACAAATTCAGACCACAGGTCAGTGAGTGGTCAGCATGGCCATGGACAGTGCTCTGTATTAGTGCCCTTTTAATCAGTGTAGAAAGGAAGAGAAGCTCTCAAACACGGAGAAGTTTTCGTGCATGTGCTCAGCCAACGTGCGCTCCTTCCTCCTAGTTTCCTATTGTCTGCAGTGTCTCAGGGGTGACTGGTCAGGTGACATGGGCAGAAGTTGCTACCCACGGACAGAGAAGAACATCCCAAGTGCTTTTCTCACAGGCAAGCTCTTTTCTTCTCCCCAAGCAGAAAGTAAACTACAGGGTCAGGAACCTTGTTGTAATACTCAGCTGTGCTCAGTGAGAGAAGCAGAGACTTACTGGTTTTATGTGCTTTTTATGTAGTAGAGAACTTATCAAGAAATTAAGGAAGCCACCACTGACACATGATGGCCTCTGAAGTGACAGGTGGGAATGTGCCAGATTGCCACTACAAGAGGGTGTGGTCTGTTTAATGCTGGCTGATGCTGTGAACTGGAGGATTTGTTTTCAGTTGGGCGAGGAAATTCAGATGAGACCAGCACAGCCCACACAAAAAATACCCTGAGACAACAACACAGCCATGGGATGATAACGCAGTTGGCTGTAGAGACAGAGTAGCCACTGCAAGGCTCCAGGGCTCCAGAAAATCGGCAGAACCAGAAACCATCTGGGTCAGGTACAGGTGATCTGAAGGCAGCAGCCCATGCTGATCAGATTGGATGAGCCAGAATAATGAGACCCACAGGAAAAGGTGGCCATGGCCAGGCCTGCCACCCTCTCCATGTGGCCCCAGGCTCTGGGACGTGCTGAGGGAACAGGACCTGCCCAGTGCCTGGTGTCATGCATTCCTCATTTCCCCAGCACAAGGTCCCTTCCTGGCAAGTGTACCCCCTCCCCCAGAGCCATTGCCTCTGCCTCCACCACGCCCCTTCACCTGCCCACTCACCGTAATCACTTTGTTTTCTAGATCTGCTCCTCCTGCCAAGCTGAACCCAAGACCAGCACCTTCCTGCTTGTGTAAGATGGTGACGTGAATGCTGTCTAACTGCTGCAGAAGGAAATACACACATACATTCAAAAACACTTTACTGCAAGAGGATGAGCAATTTAACATCAGACTGATGTGTCATCTCAAACCCCAGCTTGGCCAGCCTCCAAGTTACATCACCTCCTCAAACCTCAGTTTCCTCATCTGTAAAGAATGGACTCTTCAGGAGTCATGCGAAGCTTAAAAGAAAAAATATATAAAGCAGCAAGCATAATTATTCTCCTCTCTCACTCTCCCCATCCACACCCAGAGGAGGGTGCCATGATGAAGTCAGCCAGAAATCACAGTGCGCGCGCGCGCGCGCACACACACACACACACACACACGTACGTACGTACGTACTGCAGTACTTCTAGCCTAGACAGGGGCTCACATGGAGCCAGGACACAGAGACTCCTATTCCATTCTAGAGCAGGGGTTTCAAACTCAGATACCTGTAGGAGTCAGGCAGGTCACTGAAGTGAGCAAAATGGGCAGACGTGAGTGATGGGAACTGCAGAGAGCTGAGTACATCTGCTCAGAGGGTCAGCTCTACGTAGGAATACAGACCCAGTACCACCAGATCACTTTCCCCAAAAAATTCCAGGTTTCAATTCAGGTTTTATAATATCTAGAATTCAATATTTTTTTAATCAATGTGCAGATCAAATGAAATATACCTATAAGCCCTTGGGCCACCTGTTTGTACCGTGGCACTAAGGAGTAAATTTATGTCAAATCATTTACTGGCTCAGAGTCACTAGAGCACCTGACTTGCAGCTGACCCTATGATCCTAAGATCTGGAGCCCCTAAGACCCAAAGGAATGGAAGGATGTATGCACCCCACTGTCCCCCACCTCCAAGCCCCAGCACTAGCCCAAGTCTCTCAACTTTTACTCAAGTATGAGGTTACTTGCCTTGCAGAAGGCTCTTGTCAGGTTAGAAAGCAAATACTCTCCCCAGAGCAGCGCAGGCAGGACAGCTCTTTGTTTTACATGCCTTGCCTCTGTTATTTCATTTGTGCTGAGTAAGGTCCTGGGGGATGGTGGTCCCAGATGACGAGTGAGAGCCACAGAGAAAGAATCTCAGCCCAGCGGCACCTTGTACTCATCAGACTCACCCACACTCTTGATGTGGGAATTGCAGCTATGAATGAGGTCTCCTTGTGTAGAAAATGAGAACCTCCTTATCCTCTCATCCTAGTCTGGATCATTCTAGTACCAAATGCCTGTGTAGGCCTGGGGCAGCCCCACAGGGTGCAGGACCCATGAGCCCAAGCTCATCTGACTGCTGGCCCCAGCTCAGCCTGGCCACTTCCTCCCCACACCCCTTTGGGTCATGCTCAGAAAACATATGGGAAGTGGGACTTTCAGAATGACTTGGCTGAAGTGCGGGGGCCTTGTGAGCCCTGGGATCAGTCACCTCTCTGTGCACAGCAGAAATAATGAAAGCACCAGGTGAGAGTTCTTGTGACCCACATTGTTTACCAGGGACAGCATCCCATTAGAGACACATGCCAGGCCAGCAGCCCACAGGGTATGGAAACAGCACTGAACTTCAACTTGGAGAAAAGTGAGGCTCTGTAACCTTGACTGAGCCTTACCTTTCTCATTTATAAAATGACCAAAGACGACGCAAGAAGTCAATCGACTGAAAATGTTTCACAAGCTAAAAAGCTCTTTTCAAAGGGAATGTCTTACTGTGGTCACGTGCTACAGCGTCCCACCACCACAGGACACAGGCTGGTCTGATGTTGGCAGGCGACTCAAGCTACTACCCCTCTGGCCCAGCCAAGGTGACCACACAGCCATAATAAGCCATTGGTTACTGCAGATGCTTACAAACGAAACCTACCTTTAATGTTGCTTCATCCAGGTCCTTCACCTCCTCGATGAGTTTTTTTAATTCCTCTGTGCTCAGCAGGGAGATGACAGACTGACCAGACTGAGGGGAGCAGTGGTCCCCATCATCAGCTTCCTTGGCCTCTGAGAGACCCTCTGTATATTCTCTCAGCTCTGAAAGGCTTTCATAGAAAAAACACACAGTAGGGATCATAATATTAAAAAGAGCTTAAGTGATTGTATAATTACTCTATCCCAGGTGTGTCCAAGCACTTATGTGCATATTATTTGTGTAACAAATCTATGAGTAGATCCCTTTACAGATATTTCCCAGCAGCATAAGAACAATAAATGCAACCAATAGATGCAGAGCTACTTTGATCAGAGGGAAGACCAAACCCCATCCCTACAGCAGGAGCCCCATGGCACCTCTGACAGTCCCCTGGTTCTACAAAGCAGGTCTCATCCACCTCCTAATTTTAGCTGAAGAGGAATCTGAGGGTGAGCATGGAAGGAACCTGCTCATAGTCAGAATCAGTGCCCGAGCTGGGACGAGGACCCAGACATCCTAACTCCCTGACCAGGAAGTTGAACCCATGTGCAGAGTGCAAGTGGATTCCTTTTGGAGAGCAGTAAGAATTCCCGATGGATAATCTCCTGGCCTCACTGTGGTCTTTCTGAGTAACCGCAGGACATTTAAATGTGCATCAGCCTTCCAAACCTCCACAGGCGTGCAACAGCCCCCATGAGCAATTCACCAGGGAGCTAGTCCCTTCCCCTACCTCCCAGCCCTCCTGAAGCCAGGTGTTGTGAAAACAACTCCTTAATATGGAAGGCACAGGTGTAATACCTACAGATAGACACACGCGCACACACACATCTGCACACACATGTAAAGAGGCAAAACAATAACCAGCATATCTGAGAAAATTTTTAAATGATATATAGAATTATTTTTAAAAAGAAAGGTGAGAAAAAGATGAGAAAGGTGAAGAGAAACACCAGGTATAGAAACTCACTTGAGCGAGAACCCCATGTCCGAGGCAGATGTTTCAGCCAAACCATTTGCAGCTGGGTCTTCGTTGGATGATGATGTTGGAGATGCCCCTTCCTTGGGGATGCAGGGAGCCTGGCCCCAGGAGATAGAAGACGGGAGGCACAGCAAGGATTTCATGACAGCTGATGACACTTGGTTGCTGATAGAGTAGAGTTTGCTGGTCTTTTCATCAAGTACCTTCGTCTCACAAGACTGGGACCTGGTCAGGGGGAAGCTCCGTGCTCGCTGGCTTGGCATCTTGAGCACTGGGCCTCGAGATTCCTCAGTCTGTGTTGACAGTAGCCTTAGGAGCGGGTCCGGGCCAGGAGGAAGAGTTTTCTCACTGGGCTGCCGCCCTGGGGGAGGGGACTCGGACACACCTGGGTCTCTGGCCTCGGAGGCTGCAGGAGACCCCGAGGGCAGCACTTGCTCAGTCTTCTGGGGTGCAAGAGTGGGTGCAGCCCCTCGGCCCCAGAGTCCAGGAAGCCGACCTCCCTCATGCTTCCCAACAGGTTTTGTTGCCTCCCCAGAGGAGAGCTGTAGGCTTAGTCTCTGGGCTCCTTTGTCAGGCCGTTGAGAGGAGCCAAAGGTCTCGAAGGAGCTGATTCTCTGCTTGATGGAGGAGGAGGAGGAGGAGGAAGCCTGGGTGTGTGGTCCTGGGTGCTCCCTGGAAGCAGGTGCTGGCTGGGCAGACAAGGCAGGATCCGGGGGCCTTCTTGGGTCGGAAGCACGACTCCTCAAACCTTTCAAGCTTTGACGAAACCAGGCTGGCTTGGGAGCCACTGGGGGACCCTTCTTCACAGTGCTGCTGTCTGCTGGCCTGTAAACTTTGGGAGTGCCATTGGCCGTCTCCAGCTTTGGTGGGGTCCCATCTGGGTGGCCCTGCGTCCCATCGTCTTCACTCAGGCTGGCATTGTGCTGGAGACGCATGTGGCTATGGTTCTCAGTCATGATGGGGCTAAATAAGTTTTTGATGCAGTCGGAAATTCTAACCCAAGGGTCTTCGGCTGTGGTATCAAAGCTATAGTCCATCCGAGCCTGCCTCTTAAGCAGCGGGTGTTTTATCGGGGATGTTTGGGTCACTACGTGCAGAAACGAGGCCAAAAGCTGTGTGTTACATCATAGTGTGATGTTTCTGCCTACATTCTAGTTTCCAAGCTGAACAGCAAGATGGATTCAAGAGGAGACTGGCAGAAGTGGGAGACACCAGGTGGGTGAGCTCCAGGTGGTATTACCTGACTGGGTTACCAACAGGCAGGAGTGAAGAGCCAGAAGCAGGAGTTAACCTCATGGCTGCCTAGTGTTTAGGCCAGGAAGGGTACTCAGATAACATCTGGGCCGATCTCTGGCATTTTACATTTCAAGAAAGGTTAAGGGGCCATCTCATGGCAGTGCCAGGCCCAGACCGCATGTCTCCTGACTCTCGAAGTTTACGTCTTTTCTACTGCACTAAGGAGCCTCCGAGATACTGTGTTAAATGTGGAAAAGCCAAAGCAATTCTCTTACTGTTTAAACTTCTAAGACAAAGGTCACAGGTTGGCAGCTGTTTGTGCTTGGGCCTACCCATGTCATTAAAAATCACGGCGCCTGTGCACACCTTCCAATGGGGCCACCGCAGCTCCCCACAGCTCCTCACACTCCCTGTCACCCAGCCGGTGTTTCCCACGTATGCACCTGCCTGGCCCCGAAGCTGTTTGCGGCTCTCCCTATACACAGGTCATTGATCAACTTGCTCAGCAAAGGAGTGTTTTCCCTCCCTCAAGAGCTGATGAAAAGGTTCCAGGTAGAAAGAAATCTGTGCCAAGGATTCTCCACCTTGGCTACACACTGGAATCTGGAGGGTCCTAAAAATACTGATGCCCACCCCTAGGTACTGATTGAAGATACCCGGGACGCAGCCTGGGTGTCGGACATGTGATAAGCACGGGATTGCAAATGCAGCCTGTTCTGTGCCAGCCAGGACCTCAGGCGTGCCCTGGAGCACACAGGAGCGTTTCTCAGAAGCCAGCATTGAACCAGCATCACATCTGTGCGCATAGGGGAGACTGTGCCCCAGCTCTCTTTCCCAGGAGCAGAGGGAGGCTGGCCTGTGAGCTCTGAGCAGTGCTTGCTACTGGAATGCAACCCAGTTTAAGGAACTCTGATCCCTCTTGCCCCTTGTCTCAATGCCAGGTTTCAAAAGAAGGGAATCAGGTGGAGCATTACACCTCGACGATATCAAAGAGAAGTACTGCACATTCCAAGAGACTGGTCTTTGGCAAGTGGGCCCAGCCCTTCAGCCTGTTTCTGCGTTTCTGAATGGCTTGGCTACAAGGGGCTGTTGTGAGAATCAGGAGGCAGAGGTTCCACAGTCAAGCCCGCTACAGATTGGGGTGACAAGTTCCTGCCAGTTCAACACTGAGGCGTTTGCTTTCACTAGTATGTTCCTCAATGAGGGTGACTAAGGGAAGCGAAAGGAGCCGCCCCCACAGGCCTCTGCTCTGGGCAAGATGTGCTAGATCTTTCTAAAATGTCCCTTCATCCTCCAAAAGGCTTTCATGGACTTTTCCTGTAGTGTTTCTCAAACAGTCATATGGGGTAGAGCCTATATGTTTATTTTCTGCCACCTGCTAGTTGCTCCTTGGAGGCAGGACCTGACCCATCTCATCCCTTTCTCTCTCTCTCCCTGGCCTCTAGCACAGGACCTCACGAAGCCAGCATTCAGTGTGTGCTTTCTGAGCGCCTCATATGCTGGGGGCCCATGTGCTCTTCCATCACTCACCATTGCTGATGAGCGAATCTGGGCTCAGAAAGGTGAAGCAGGTTGCTCAGAGTCATGCTAATGATGGGCAGACCCAGGGTTCCCTGACTCCAAGTTCTATGCTCTCTCTAGCAAGAGACTAAATATTCAAGTCATATCTTAGCATTGCCAGGTGTACCACATGGGTGCACCCTTGCCATCCACTTCATGGAGGAAGCGACCACTGGCAAATTCTATTTATACTTTTCTGGCACTGCAGTCTCCGACTCAGAAATCCTAAATGCAGCAGGAATGTTGCAACTGGAATGTGGGCACCCTAGAGGCAGCTGCCCGGGATGGCTAGGTGGGCATGCCTTTGGACCTCTTCTGAGGCTCCATCCTCCCAACTATCCAGAATGGCCTCCCTTCCTGCTGCACGGCATCACCCTTCCACCCGGGAGGCTCCACACCCTGGACAGCACCTCCAGTGCTGCTGCCCAGCACCCGGGACTCCCGACTGTTGATCAGCCAGGTCCAGCGGTGGAGTCAATGCAGAGCATGCTGATCCTCAGGTCAGTCGTGCTCTTATCTTATCCCTGCACCTTTCTTCAAAAGACCCTTCCTTTTGGAAGATCTCATTGGAAGCTTACCTGGGCTGGCTCTTCTCTGTCCTGGCTCGCCCTCTGTGGAGAACGTGGTCTGTGGGCCGACACCAGGTCCTGGGCAGCTGGCAGAGGCACTAGGGCTTCTCCCTGCCGTGTCTTCCTGTGGCAGCAGCAGTGGCAGCAGCTCTCTGGCTTCCTGTGGTGTAAACAGGAAGCAAGACCGTGTCAAAACGGTAGCCTTCAGCCGTGAGAAGGCGAGACACGCTTTGATTGGGATGGAAAAACAGATACGGAGCTGCTTTCAATGAGAAGTTCATCAGCAGCCTTGTAAAGAGGGTTCTTTTCTCCTTGGTCTGACGTGGCAAAGCCAGCATCTCCTAGACACGCAGAACAGCCCCTGACTCCCAGCAACCTGGTGTTCAGGACATGGGCTCATACTGTGGACGTACGCGAAGACCCTGGCTCTTTGTGACAGGAGCAAAAGGCTTTGTGTATGGAAGGGACGGCATGGCCTCAGTTACAGCTGCATCTTGGTGAACTACCCACCCCAGGAGGGTACAGGGCAGTGTTGGAAAAAGGTGGCTAAAAACCAGCCAGCTAGTGTTCCCCAAGGTTAGAGCACTCAGAGAAAAATGCTTGTCAATTGCTGTCACTTGTTTAGTACTCTTCAAATATTTAGTAAGCATTCTGGGAAGGATGACAGATACTCGGCACATGTGCCATCACTCCCCTCTGTGACATGAAGGTGACATCATCAATCTGTTGTAGAACTGTTTCCACCACTGAGCCTGGATGCAGCCTTGGGTCCCTCCCAATACAGCCTAAGGACAAGATGGGCCAGGCTTGGAATAGCTGTGCAATACTCGAAGAGTTTGGATTATCACACAGTGTGCTTAAGGTGCTGTGAGGGCCCTGAGGAAACAGAGAGATGAGTTCTATCCCAGAGGTGGGGAAGGGCTTTCTGTCTGCCTCATCAACAGAGTAAGAATTTTCCAGGCAGAGAGCCAGAAGAATGTTCCAGAGACACAACCCAACCAAACATGATACCCACCTGGAAAAAGAAGATTGAGAAGGCAGACAGCATCGAAATAATGCCACCTGTATTTAATCATCTGCAAGAGAAATACTTTGCTGTCCTGGATGCCACCTCTGGTTAATTCCAGATTTGGGTAATGATGGGCCATCTGACATGGCTGCAGGCCTCCTTCCAGAGAGGAAGGGGGGAAGAAGGAACAAAGGCACCATTTGGGACTAAGAAAAAAATGACAAATGTCCATGGCGCGAAATTTAAGATCTACATTGACAGTAAATATTTTGGGGAAGGAAAGGTCTATAAAAGTTAGAAAGGTCTTCACAGAGATAGTTCAGGTTCTCTATGGTAGAACTGAGCTTTAGGAGAGCATTAGGAAATATTGAGAGATCAATTTCAAAGGAATCACAGGGCTTCTCGAACTAGCCTTTGAAAAAGTAAGGCTGAGTCATGGCATTAGACGCTTAAAATATTGGTCTGATGATCTCTAAGACTCTCATCCGCAAGAGAAATGACATTGGGATGAAATTTAATTTCACCCAGTTGGAAACACTGTAAGTTGACAGCTGTTGACATTCATGAATTGATAGCGCTTTTATAGGCCAGCATACGTGTCCCCAACTGCAGTCAACACAGCTTCACATCTTGGAACGGACACAAATGCATTTTGTCTTTTCATCGACACATCTGATATTGTATCCTCTTCATGGGAGGCTTCAAAATTAGCCCCTGAAATCAGTTTGATTTTACACAAAGTTTTCTCTTACTAGTGTTTCCTGGAACTGTGCTTGGTGGATGAAGCAGGGAGAAGAGAAAGAAGGACAGAGTGGATGCAGCGTAGAACGGAGAAATATGGTTTTTTCTTCTAAGAATCCTGCTGTGTGTTGGAATTTTTTTTAAGCGCAGGTGAGAGTTTAAGCTGATTTTCTGTAAGAGAGATGTTAGTTTTTTGTTGAAGAAAATGTCCCAAAGTTCATTTTGGTTGTGAGAGCTCAGTCCCCTTGAGTTAGAGTAGATGGGAAAGATTTGGGGGTCATCCATAGCAGCTTGACAACAGTCTTGGGGCCCTGGAGAGAAAAGGCTGCAGGGAGGGAAGGTGGGAGGGTGGGACAGTGGACACCGTGGCCATGGAAGAAAACACCCAGTGAGAAATCCTCAGGAATGGTCAAGGAAATTTTAAGAGTGACCTCAAGCAAACGGCTTCCTGTTTTCTACTGCGTGCTGCTATGAGCCTTTCTCTGTGACCCCCCTAGTGCGCAATAAAAGTATGTCGCGCTGATTGCTTTTATGGAAATGTCTGTGGGAGAAGGAGCTGCTGGCCACGTGGGACAGAGCAGGCAGAGGAGGGCAGCTGCAGAACGGCCTGTGTCTCCAGGAGACGGTGCTGCTGGGGTGGGTGCAGGAGGGAGCCCTGGATTCTGCCCAAGCACGCAGGGCACCAAAGATGACCCGTTGGGAAGCTCCCTGCCTGGCTTCCCTGAGGGCACCCCCGTTCCTCCTCTGGACCCCTTACGGGGTCCCTGCCCCATGCGGCTCTGCTGAGGGCATCACCCACCAGGACAGACGTGCTGTGGTAACTGCACTCGTCCTTTTCTGGGCCTCCAGGAGGAAGGCAAAATGAATGGCTTCTCAGCTGGCAGCTCCTGGTTTGCCCTTCTGGACTTATAGGTCTCGGGTCCAAGGGAAAATGAACTATGGGCTTGAAGGGGGGTGGGAGGACAGTCCACCTGACAGCTCCATCATGTGTGGCTAAGCAGCCACATCCTGCCAGCGCTCTGCAAAACTGTACTTCCTTTTCAGTAACCTGACCTCCCCTTCCCTCCTTCACTTTCACCCCTCCTGCTCGACTTCCTGTCTCCACCGCTACCCCTCCTGAAGCTTGCCAACCCTCACTGTAGATCGTTCTAGGGGATTTCCTGAGGCCCCTTCCCACCTGCCCAGGGAAGGCAGCTTCTGGGTAAGGATGGGACCTTCAGCGTGGCATAGTGGGTAACTGTGACCCACCAGCGAAGTGAACTTGAGCAAGTTTCTCACTTCCCTCTTTGCACAATTGGGACTCCCACTCTCAGGTTGCTGTAAGATTGAATTGACACAAGGTACATGAAAGTACTCAGTGTTTTTATGCCTGCGCATAAAAACAGCTCAAGACACAGAGGCTGCCTTTTGAGTAAGGGGCAGGAAGGAGGTCTTTAAGGAGCCTGACCCAGGAAGATCATGGCAATGAACGCTCATATGCCTGTGACGCCGTCAGGTACTTCCCCTAAGAGGTTACCTTTATCCTCACATTCGCCCTTGGAGGGAGCACTACAGGCAGCCCCAATTAACAGATTGCTGGGGTCCCCCCAAGGCTCCACACCTAAAAAAGTGAGGAGGCAAAGATAACTGGGGAGGAAATAGGAGCCAGTTTCTCACAGTCACATCAGCCACTCACTCAGGAAGCAGGCTCACCGGCTCGTGTCCCGTTTTGGTTAGTGAAGCCACTATTCTCCCTGCAAGCAAGACACTCAAAGACCCGCATGCGAAGGCTGCCTCCCCCACCACGGAGCGGCCCTCCAGGGGTCCTGGTATTTCCTTCACGGTGAGAGTGAAAAATGACACCGGAAATGCAGCAAACCACCATGGCACATGTATACCTATGTAACAAAGCTGCATGTTCTGCACATGTACCCCAGCACTTAAAGTATATATACAAAAATTTCCAGTGTGTTATGGATGGGAGCGCAGATGCCAGCAAGCAGGACTGGGACTTCAATCATCTGTCAACATTCAAACCCCTTTCCACGGTCGGTCCTAGGCTGAGACCTACGCATCAGCTTCTCTCTGGTGGAGCAGGAGGAACCTTCATTCTGCCCCTGCTAACACTACAGCCCATGCTCAAGATTTGAGTCTGGTGCTGGAAACACTCCACCTGTGGACCCATCCTCTTACCTGGCCACAGGTGGGCAGGGTGTGTCCAGATGTGCATGAGGAGTTCTCTCTCTCTTCCAAACTCTTCTGAGGGTCACTGTCACTTTTAAAGTATTTTCTGGGTGGAGGCTTGGGCTTGGAGGACGTAGGCTTTCTCACCAAAATCTCAAAGGATTTCTTTAGTCTCAGCGGAGGGTGGCTGTCCCGGTTCTCTCGGAGGGGCGGGCTCTCCTGGGGCAGTCTGGAGGATGCTACAGAAAGCACCCCTGGCTCCCGTGCCAGGGGCAGGCTGGGGCTGTGAGTGCTGATGTCCACGTCGGAGGACGGCTTCTCAGCACTGCCACCCCCAGGACTTCCCCCCGGGGACCCAGACATGTAGCTGCTGTCACTGCTGGAGCGGACCATGATCTTCTGAGCCCTGCGATGCGGGGGCGCTGAGTTCTTCTCTTGTTCCTTCTCCATGGTAGGCCGCCCGTGCCAACTGCTTTCCAGCCTTTTGACACCTGTGTGGGAAGCACCAGGGAATCTTCACAGCTGAGCTTCAGAAGATGAAAAAACACCCCCGCCTCACCTGTGACTGCTGCAGGCATCACACTGTACACAGCTGTCTCATCTGAGGCCACTGGATCTGGAACGTGGCAATCACCAGCTGTCTCATCTGAGGCCATGTTGGATCTGGAGTGTGGCAATCTTGGTGTTGGACCCCAGTGAGCTGTCTGACTTTGGGTTGGGAAAATCGTTCAAGCTTTCTGAGCCTGTGAGTGATGGATATGGAGATATGCCCCCCAGATCACCCATTGAGGGAGGGCTTGGTGTCCCAGCTGTGGGGAGTGCTGTTGGTAGACTACTTTCAGCTGTGGGTCCCTCCAGGGATCCACGGGGGGGGGGGGGCATCCCATCTCTAGGGACTGCTGGAGACAGGGTTACAGAGGCCCAGCCATGTTGGCCAACTCAGGACCACTCTAACGGGGACTTTAGCTGCAGAGCTCCAGGGCTTGGCTGACGCTGTTGGCCGTGCACCCCAGCTCCATCCTCCCGCGGTCTACCTGCCTGTACTCCCCTCTCTGCCACAGGTAGTGATCCCCAGGACACTTCCTAAGAAACAGGCTTCCTGATAAAAACTCCATCTCAGAGTCGGCTTCCTGGGGGACCCAACTCCATTTCTGCATCTGTAAAATGCAGATGATAATTCTAAAGTCACTGGGCTTATTTTGAGGCTTAATAACAAAGATAGAGAAACTACCTGTCAAGGCACTTTGAATCTTACACGAAGATGTCACCTGTTCTTTCCAGTTGAGGGTGAGGTGAGGGCAGAAAGCCACTACTTCTAAGAGGTGCCATCGCACCTCCCTCCCTCCCTCCGTCCCTCCCTCCCTCCTGGCCCTTCTTTCTGATGCCCAGTGCCCCCTACCCTGGTTTCCAGCACTAGGGCTACCCACACATCCTTGAGAGGCCCTTCTCTCTAGTGGCGAACCGCCCTACAATCACGGCTCGAGGGGGTGGGGGAAAATTGAAGTCTAGTCTGTTGCTCACATTCCAGCTCATGCTGAGAGACTCGGAAAGCCAGGGGAGCCCCACGAGAGAGAACCAAGGCCAGCCTGGCTCCTAATTCACTTTCTCTTTACATAAAAAGTTTTCTTTTGCATTTTCCTGATCATAAAAGATAATGTATCTCCTTAGAGAAAACAGCCACAAGAGGAATGAAAGTAAACATTCACTTCACCTGTGTTTCTATCATCCAGAAATCACTACTGTCAAAATGTTGGCGAGTTTCTCTGTCATGCTTTCCTGAGCATATATGCATGTTGGGTAGGTGGAAACAGTAGACCAGAGCTGAAGTAAAATGTTGTGTTCTGTTCTTTTCTCTGAACACTTTCTCAGGTCAGTTTCTTGTTGATATCAGTGCCAATGGTTGCATGTTGTTGTATCATAAGGATATTCCATGATGGCTTGATGAATGCCCAGTGGCTGGGCATGGGAGTCAAGCCAACTGGACTTCCATTCCACAGCCTCTGTGCTCTAGTGCTGTGACTTTGAGTAAGAGAGTCTTTGAAGGCCTCACTTTTTCTTACAAAATGTGCATAAAAATTATGTGTGAATGCATGAATTAGCACAGTGTCTGACATCATAAGAAGTCAATAAATATGAGAATTATATTCCCAAATGTTAATTTTTCCAATATTCTATTATTGTAGACTAGGAGCTGCAAACTCAAATACCTACAGGGGCAATTGTGTGCATGGCAACTTGGTACAGGATAAAGGGAACAGGGAGCTGGAGAGAGCCCTGCACATTTGCAACAGTTCAAATTCAGATGTTTTTAAAATCCTGTGTCTTCCAAACAAAGCAAAAATATAACCTAACTTTAGCTGGGGGGTTGCTAGTTTTCAGTCTTTGTCTACATACTATGCTGGTCTATGATAACTTCTGTTACTATTCCTTGGCTAGAGGATGAGTAAGTGGATAAATCCTAAGCTTTCTAAGAAGGCAAAGATATTTTACATCAAGTTCAACATTTGTCTTACCTTCCAGACTCCACTGATGCCTCTCCTTTCCAAACTTGCTGTTTTCCACCGCCTGGGCCACAGCTTCTTTGAGTTGCTGTTCAGAGACCTAGAAAATGTCAATCATCTCCTCAAACAGTGGAAGCTCCAGCATCAGGCTCCCAGCCCTGTACCAGCTCCCTAGCTGGGCCACTACATTCTACGTTTTTTTTTTTTTTTTTTTTTTCCTTTCAACCCACTCTGTAAATAGCTGACAAATTCCATTTCCAGAAGTACCCTGGGAATCAACAGTTCCCCAGTATCTTCTAGATAAAGTCCAAAGTCTATCAATGCAGGAGTTCCCAAGGAGGCCTCCTCAACTCTCCATCTTTCTCCCCACTACTTGATGCAAAATTCTGTCAAGTTCCCATGTCATAGGTTACCTCTATGAGCTAGTCCATTCATGGCAATGCTGCCATGACCTCATCATCAACAATGTCATAACCATCACAATCACTCTTACACTGTGTGTCTTATGACTCACAGTTCATTATCACTTTGGAGTAATAGTTAAGAGTATGAGTCTTAGAGTCAAACAGGCCTGTGTTCTAGTCCCAGTTCCTCTACTGTCTAGGCGCGCATACCTAGACAAGTTACTTAGCCTCCTAAGCCTCCATCTCTTCCTTCTCTAAGGCAATAACAATAATAAAAGCCACTTAACAACGAGGACAGGTTTTTTAAAAGTAAGTTATTTGACATCAAAAGTACAAGACACAAAAAAGACACATTGGACTATGTAAAAATGAAAAACTGCTGTGCATCCAAAGGACATAATCAACAGATTGAAGAGGCAACTCACAGAACGGGAGAAAATATTTGCAAAGCATAGTTCAGATAAATGGTTGAGGTCCAGAATATGTAAAGAACTCCTACAATTCAGCAGGAGCAACAACAATAAAACAGCCTGGTTAAAAACTGGGCACAGGACCTGAATAGACATTTCTTTTAAAGAGATACACAAACAGCCAAAAAGCAAATGAAAAAATGCTCAACATCACTAATGACTAGGTAAATACAAATCACAACCATGCTGAGTTACCACCTCACACGCATGAGGACATTAGGATGGCTACTATTGAAAAGAGAAAAGAGGCTGGGCCTGGTGGCTCATGCCTGTAATCCCTGCAATTTGGGAGGCTGAGGCGGGCAGATCACTTGAGGTCAGGAGTTTGAGATCAGCCTGACCAACATGGTGAAACCTGTCTCTACTAAAAATACAAAAATTAACCAGTGTGGTGGCACATGCCTGTAGTCCCACCTACTGGGGAGGCTGAGGCAGGAAAATCACTTGAACCCAGTTTAGTAAGCTCAGACCGTGCCGCTGCACTCTAGCCTGGGTGACAGAGTGAGACTTCGTCTCAAAAAAAGAAAAGAAAAGAACAAAATGTTGGCAAGGATATGGAGAAATTGGAAGCCCTGTGCTGTTGATAAGATGTACAGTCGTGTAGCCGCTGCGGAAAATAGTTTGAAGGCTCCTCAAAAACTTAAAAATAGAATTACTATATCACCCAGCAATTCCACTTCCGGGTGCATACCACAAAAAAAGTGAAGTCAGTATCTGAGAGATATCTGTACTCCAGTTCATTGTGGCATTATTCACAATAGTCAAAAGGTGGAAACAACCAAAGTACCCACAAATCAATAAACAGAATGTGATACACACACTCTCACACACACACACATATATGCACACATACACGCACACACATGCATGCACACACACGCACATGCACACATGCACATGCACGCACACACACACGTACATGTGCATGCACACACACGTTCATGCACACACGCACACATAGACACATGCATGCATGTGCACATGCACACATGCACATGCACACACACGCACCCATGGACATACACACATGCACACACACATCCATGGACATGCACACACATGCACACACACATCCATGGACATACACACACATGCACACACGCACACACATGCACACACGCACACACACAAACACACTGGAATATTATTCTACTTTAAAGAGGAAGGAAATTCTGGCACGTGCTATAACATTAATCTTGAGGATACTATGTGAAGTCAAATAAGTGAGACACAAAAGACAAATATTATATGATTCCAGTTCTGTGAAGAACATAGAGGTCAACATCACAGAGACAGAAATTAAATTGGTGATTCCCAGGGGCTGCAGGTAGAGGAACACAGGGACTTGTTTAATGGGTGGAGTTTAAATTCTGAAAGATGGAAAGGGCTCTGCAGATGGATGGTGGTGACGACTGCACAACAATGAGAATGTCTTTAATGCCACTGAACTGTACACTTAGAAAATGGTTAAGAGGGTAAATTTTATGTTACGTATATTTTACCACCATAGTCAATAATAGATAAATCATTTAAAGTCTTGGGCACAATGCCTGGCAGATGGTAAACTATTAATAGGGAAGAGTTACCATTCACAATAATCAGGTAAGGTAAAGACCACTCCCCCGTGTCACAGTTGAGGAACCAGAGGCTCTTGGAGGTTGGATGAGTTGCCCAAGGTCACCATAAGCAAACAGCCGACTGGACATGTGTCAGGCATCCTGCTGCGGGCCCCGCCTCTCTTCTCTCTGTGTCTGTGTCCTGGATCTCCCCTGCCTAGGGTGCCTTTGCCTTCCTGCCACTCTAAACCTTACCTGTCCTTTCTGGCCTGGCTCTGGTATCTGAGCAGCTGGAACCCCAGCTCCCTCACTGTCAAGGCCCTCACCTCTCTGGCCTCTGTGTGTGTCCCGTCTCTCTGGCCGGAATGCACACTCCTTCAACCCAGGGCCACAGCATTTGCCCCCAGCCTGACCCCTGCTCCACTGATGTTCTGCCGGAGTCCTAAAAGCAGCAAGAGGCACTGGTCAATCAACTGGGACCTCTTTCTTTTCTTGTACTGCCCAGAGATTTAGGCCAATTATTTGCTTGCCCGAGTTAAGAAGTTCGCTTGTCTCTGGTGTGTTCAGCCCCAGTGTGCTGTCCACGGAACGGGGCTGGGTTTGAATTCCACCACACCATTACAAATATTGATCTTCCTCACGACTCCACTCTGCCCAAGTGTCACTGGGAGTTTGGGAGTCAGTGAGCTCACAGCACAGGCTTTACTGGATTTACATTGTAGCTTCTTTACTTAGTAGCTTCACCATTGGGAGGCTTCTTTGTCCTTTCTAAGCCTCAGTTTCCTCATCTGTGAGTTGGCGGGGGGGGGGCAGAATATCACACTAATTTCAGGGGGCTGCATGGCAACTAAATGCACTTGTGTGGATCACATCTTTGGAAAACATGCATGGCACACATTAAGGATTAACTAATTCATGGTGGTGATTATTCCAAGTTCCCCAGAGCTCTTACCTGCAGCAGGGCTTCAACCCCCAAGTCTGGCTTCAGGCTGGGTACCTGTAATAGCTGCTATCAGCCCTAAGTCTAACCTGCCTACTGGGCATCTTTACCTGGACACCCCATGGCACCTCTGCCTCACTATATCCCACACGAAGATCATGCTCTTCTCTCCCCTCAAGCTTACCACCGTGGAAGACCATTGCTGAGTCTTCCAATCTCAAAATATTCGAGACATCCTCAGCTCCTCCCTCTCCTACCCCAGAACCACCCGGCCAGCAGCTCTTGTTGAGTCTTCCCAAGCATTGCCTCCTGTTGCCTGATATGATCTGGTTGTGTTCCCACGTGTTGTGGGAGGGACCTGGGGGAGATAATGGAATCATGGGCAGGTTCCCCCGTGCTGTTCTCATGATAGTGAATAAGTCTCACTATCTGATGATTTTATAAAGGGTTTCCCCTTTCACGTGGCTCTCATTCTCTTCTTGCCTGCCACCGTGTAAGATGTGCCTTTCACCTTCTGCCGTGACTGGGAGGCCTCCTTAGCCACATGGAACTGTGAGTCCATTAACCTCTTTTTGTTTATAAATTACCCAGTCTCAGGTATGTCTCCATCAGTAGCGTGAGAACAGGCTAATACACTACCCCTTCCTTTTGCTCTTCCCATGGCTGCTGTGTAGTTCAGGATCTCACCATCTGCTGCCTTCCTCTTACAAACTCCACCCTCCACCCACTCTATCCTGTCTACTGCAATCAAAGGTTAAAAAATTAAAATACAAACATGCCTCATCTACAGCTACAGACCTCCCATAGCTCCCCACTATGGAGAAGAAAATGCAAGCTCTTTTGTATCCTGTTGAAAGCCCTCTGCAGTGTAATGCCAGTGCTATGCCTACCTCTGTTCTCAGTCATTCTCACCTAGTACCCTACATTCCAACCCCACAAAACCCACTCCTCTCCTTCCAGGTCGGGTCCCTTCATGACTCTGTAACTTTGAACTTTTTGTTCCCACTGCCTGGAAGGATCTTCCTCATATTCTCTACCTAGAGAAAACGAACCTCTGGAATTTTTTTTTTTTTTTTTTTTTTTTTACATTATAAGCCATTCCCTGCTATATTCCTGTATTCCCATAGGACCTACCATCTCTGTTTTGCAATTACTTGTATGTCAGGCTCTTTATTGATACTGTGAGCTTCTGCAGGGCAGGACTGTGTGCTATGAACTTGTCTCTGTAACTTCAGTGCCTACCTCCAGACATTTCCACAGTGGGTACCTACTAGATGCATAAATGAAGACATCTCTTGCTTCTACTATCTGGGACCTTGGGTCTCCATTTCCCTGTCCTAGAGCTTATAACTCAGCTGTCAGAGCTTCCCTCAGTGGAGGTCAATTGCCTCTGATACCTAGGAGTTTGTTCGTGGACTTCTGCTGCAGACAATCCTTATTACAGAAACCTGGAAGGGATTCTTGGGAATTCAGGTCCAAACCCAGCCAGCAACATCCTTTTTTCTGTCTATCTCTTGTTCCAGTTTTGGTACTGAAAGAGTGAGCCTGAGAAGAGGAGGGTAGCCCGGCGGGTGTTACCTGTGGGTCTGGATGTCGGCTGACGGTGATGGGGATGGGACCAGGATCACAGTGACTCAGGATGGTGTAGACTTCGTTGAGTGTCATGCAGTGCACAGGGGAATCACTGATTTCCACAAGCTCATCCCCACATCTGTTCAAGCATCAACAAGAAGCCATCAGTAAGAGAATCAATGAGACATGTGAACAGTCCCTGTCTCAGGGGCCCACTCCTGGCCAGGCTGTTTGATGCGATCTAAAAATCACATGAATAAGTAGACCTTCCTAGCTACTAGACCAAAACTCAGAACAGGGCAGACCAAAGCAGCACATCCCACACCCCCTGACTGTACAACTGCAAAGTGGCAGGTATTTCCCATCTACGCCGGGCCAACATTAATGAAAGTTCATCTGTAACTTTCCTCCTTTTCACATTTAAGTATGCCCATTAAAGACTGAGTGTGCTTTAGCGAATTCAACTGAATAACCGGTTAACTAAGATTTCATCCTCCACATCCTCTCCTTGGGCCTCAGTGTTCCCGTAAGTAGAATAGGAGGAACAATTGGATCTAACATACCACACACGGGGTGTCAGATGTCAGACCTAATATCCTATATGTGCTAAAACGGGGAGAAAAAATAACTTGGCAGGAGAGCAGCTCAGATTCTTGCAAAAAGAAATAAGGAGAAAAGGTGGTGTTGTTCATTCTAGCTGTAAGGTGGGAAGGCAGTTAATAGCAACGTAAACCTAAAAAAAAATAATGGTGGAAAAGATGGGGTCACATGGATACATGGTTTGCATGATCCAGTCCCCTTCCCGATCTAGGTAGGGAAATTGAGCTGCAGATGGTGAACAGACTTCCCTGATCTAGGTCTGCTGAGGAATTGACAAACTTTTTCTGCAAAGGGCCAGAGAATATTTCCAGTGTTGCATGCTTTGCTGCACTGTCTCTGTTGAAACTACTCAACTCTGCTGTCACATTAATAACAATACAGCTGCAGCCATAGATGAGGCATAAACAAATAAGCCTGGCTTTGTTCCAGTAGAATTCTATTAAAACAAACGAACAAAGCAAAACAGTGATAGGCCCCAGTTTGTAGACCCGTGGCCTGGCTGGTCACCAGCAGGTCCAGGATCGGAACTCCAGTCTCCTGAGGCTGATTTCCCCGTGCCTCCTGCTATGTTCTGTGGCTTCCTTCTGCTGAGTTCATCCCCCTTCACCCTTGCTAGGAGAGTATTCATTTTTACTGCTGTAACTGAAGACCACGGTCATAGAGCACCAGATGCTAGGAAAAGCAGACGCTTCCAGAATAATCCCTATCCCACTGCAGATCTAAGAAGGAGGCACTCTCTGCCTGAGGGTACTGGGACAAAGACAAGCACTCTGAACCTGCAGAGTCCCAAGTACCAGCACAGCAGCTCAGCAAATCACCTGCCACCCCTCTGCAGAGAACAGCAAATCCCTTTCTAATTCAGGAGCTCCATCAAGACAGCATCATAAGCAGGGATCGCAGAAAACCCTTCAAAAAGATGGCAAAACTCTCCTGATTTAGGAAAATCCAAAACCAGTGAGAGAAGATATATTTGTACTATACGTGAATGTTACAGTGCAAAGTATTCTAATGAATTAAATTCTAACAAATTCGATTTTAAAAAATCAAATTCAGATCACTATTGAAAAGAAAATTTAGATTTGAACTTCTCTTAGAAATTATTTATAAAAAATATATCTGGAATACCCCAAAATATTTTGTTATGCCAGAAAGAACCTGTATTTCTACTACTGATATTTTCTCTCTCTTTCTTTCTCTTTTTTTGAGATAGGGTCTTGCTCCGTTGCCCAGGCTGGAGTGCAGTGGCACGATCTCAGCTTACTGCAACCTCTGCCTCCCGGGCTCAAGTGATCCTCCTGCCTCAGCCTCCCAAGTAGCTGGGATTATAGGCATGTGGCACCACGCTCGGCTAATTTTTGTATGTTTAGTAGAGATGGGTTTTGCCATGTTGGCCAGGCCGGTCTTGAACTCCTGAGCTTAAGCCATCCACTTGCCTCGGCCTCTCAGAGTGCTGGATTACAGGTGTGAGCCTCTGTGCCCAGCTTAGTAATATTTTTACCATTAAGCCATTTCCATATAGAATTCATAGATTAACCTCATCAAAGCTTCTATTTATGTCATTGTAAATTCTATATGAAATCTGAATTAAAGAGTGTTTATTTCATGTTTTCTGTGCTGAGCTGGTGTTCTCTGAGACAATGCTTCTTAAACTGTAATATGCATACTCATTCACAGGGATTTTGTTAGAATCCCCATGGTCCTGGCTCAGCAGGTCTGGGTGGGGTGTCTAAGATTTCATATCTCTAACAAGTTCCCAGTTGCTGTTGATTCTGCTGGTCCAGCCCACACTTTGAGGAACACAACTCTGAGCTATGCCCAGATCATTCTTTTTGTTTTTTTTTTTTTGAGGCACCTTCGGGACTTTATTAGATAACCGGACCCCAGCTCCAGCCACAGGCTTGAACAGCCCGCTGGGTGTGGTCTCAGAGCCCCCAACAGGTTCTCTGCCTCCTGGCCCCGCCCTGGGATTTCTCAGGGTCACAAATGTGTGCAGAGCAGGGGTGTGCCGGCCGCAGCGGGAAGTGGTGTTCAAGCCACCCCACCTCCATCGGGTCCTGGCAGGCCCCCGACACCTGGCTCTGCTGTGGGAGCCGAGAACAAAGACCCTGCCCACCCTGCTCCTGCGGGCCCCGGGGGCTCAGCCAGCACCCACCTTCCCAGTGGCCTGGGCCGGGGCTGGGGTGCAAAGCCTTGCTCCCTCTAAGCCAAACGGAAAAATGCATCTCCCAAGAGTATCTTGGGGAGCAGGAAGGAGGCCTGCCCCTCCCTAGCCACAGAGCTGGGGGACCCCACCACGAGACCATTCTTTATGGATCATCTCCAAACCAATCTGCCGACATTCTAAGGTATTTCTTCCCTGGTCGTAAGTCAGGGGTCTATTCAGCACAGAAGTGAGGACATACCGGAGGCGTCCGTCCAGATGCGCCACGGATCCCGGAGACAGCGTGTGGACGAAGATGCCGGAGATGCACTGGAAGTAGGGCACACTGCACAGGCCGATGCCCAGGCCCACGCCAGCCTCTGGAAGGCAGAACGGGGCAGGGCAGGGAGACCAGGACTGAGCTTTCCCAGGGGCCCACCCGCTCACTGGGTGCCACAGATGCGGCCCCCTGGGGACTACGGCTTTCATCCGCCCATATTCACAGAGCGGTCACGGTGTGCAGGCACCGCTCTAGGCTCAGAACAGTGACCAAGGCAGGAAGGAATAGCGGGGAAAGACTAGGAAGGAAGGAGGGAAGGACGGTAGGGGGGAAGAAGGAAAGGAGGGCGCTAGGTGAGGAGAGAGGACAGTATCTAAGAGTGGTAAGTCTTATATGGCGAATGTATGCAGAACGTGCTGGAAAGTGAGGGATGGCTACTTCAGGCCTCAGAGGAGACACGGTTTAGGCTAAATTACAAGTGACAAGAGTTAGGGCTGAAGAGATGGGACAGCGCATCTCAGAAGCAGAAACAGCCCACGCAAAGGCCCAAGGGCAAAAGCAAACACGCCACGTCGCAGGACCAGAAAGGCCAGTGTGGCGGGGACACGGCCTGCACAGGAGAGCAGCACGTGATGGGGAGAGACGGGGACAGACTGCAGAGTCAGTGGGGCACGTCAGTGAGCGGGTTTATTCTCTACTGAGAAGGGATGGCATAGGAGAGCTGCGAACAAGGCAGGGACACAATCTCATTCCTGTTTTTATAAACATGTCTGGCTACCATGGAGGGAAAGAGCTATGGGTCCTAGAGAATGGAAGCAAGGAGGCCAGCTAAGAGGCCGCTGCCGAGAGAGACCGTGGAGGCCCGGACTTCATCTCTTGTGAACATGGAGAGAAATGGATGCCAGTGGAATAGATTTTGAAGATAGACTTGCTGATGGATGAAGTATAGAAACTTAACAAATAGGCCGGGTGCGGTGGCTCACGCCTGTAATCCCAGCACTTTAGGAGGCCAAGGCAGGTGGATCACGAGGTCAAGAGATAGAGACTATCCTGGCCAACATGGTGAAATCCCGTCTCTACTAAAATTACAAAAATTAGCTGGGCGTGGTGGCATGCACCTGTGGTCCCAGCTACTCAGGAGGCTGAGGCAGGAGAATTACTTGAACCTGGGAGGCGGAGGTTGCAGTGAGCCGAGATTGTGCCACTGCACTCCAGTCTGGCGCCTGCTGACAGAGTGAGACTCTGTCTCAAAAAAAAAAAAAAAGAAAAATAAAGAAACTTAACAAATAAAATCAAACTTGGAGATTTGTTTCTCTTGAGTAATTGTGCAATAGTGATGCAATTTACCAAAGCAGGCTACGGAAGACCGAGGTTGTCAAGGTAGGGCCTGGGGGTTCAGCTTTGCCCACATGACACTTGCAATGTGCTGGGAAGTGAGGGATGGAGACTTCAGGCAGCTGCACGGGGAAGAGGGTGCTGTCAGGATGTCTGGGACTGTCCCAGGGACATGCAGAGCAGATGTTTGCACAGATGAAGCCGGAACCCGGGAAAGAAAGCAGGGCAGAAGCCGAAAGTTTTCATGTAGCTGCATGTATCTGGCGTTAGGGCTGTGGGGCTGGACGGGATCCCCCAGCATGTGGGAGAGGAGGGCCTGCAGCTCACCAACATGGAAAGGTCTGGAAAAGGAGGACGAGATGGAGCGACCACAGAGTAGGGGGAAGCCCTTTACGGTTTTCTTTTGACACATATCATTTACAGAGCACTTTGGCGAATGTTTTCACCCTCTCATGCTGCTCTTCCCAGCAGTCCCATGAAGAATGCCATGGCAATTGTTGGCAATCCCATTTTATGGATGAAGAATTTGGTAAAAGCCAGAGCCCTTCCCACACCCAGGTTTCCTGACTAGAGCAAGAGCTTTCCAGTCTAATGGGAGCCAGAAAGTGCATAAGATACTTGTTTAGAATGTGGATCCCTCAGCCTCACCTCACCCTGTTGAAGCAAAATCTCTGGGGGTAGAGTTTAAAAAGCTGCATCAGATAAAATGAGCAGACAAAAATCGTCCCTAAGGCATTTCTGATGCCAGTGATCAGAGGAAACAGCACGCTGGGGCCACGCCTTTCCCACTTCGTGCCTGCTCAATAAACGGACTGCAGGAGCCCTGGATGGAGCTGTGGGCACCATGCCAGCACACATTTGTCTGCCCCTAGTCCTTATGCCAAGCATTGTGCCAGGCTTGCAGGCACATAGAGGCATCTGAAGCCTCAGGGAGCTTCTGGTCCAGCAGGAGCGCCAAGACATGCATCAGGCAAAGCTGCATGCAAGGAATTCCCTTCCACTTCGACACCAGACCTCAAGCCAAATCCTCTCTCCAAATCCACTTCTCCCAACCTCTGACCCAAATGGCTGCAAGTGGTTTCCAAGCCTCACACTATGGGCCATTCTCCATGGAGAACCCTAGGAGACATTTTTTGAAGCATAAGTGGATGTGTCACTCCCCTGCTAGCAATCTTTAAAGGATTTCCTGCTGTAGTTAGAAGAGAATTGAGCTGCAAAGTCCCACAGCATCTCTCTGCCTCTGCCAAGTGCTTTGATGCCAGCTCTCACTCTGCCCACCTAGCTCCAGCCATGCTGGCCTTCTTTCTGCCCCTAGAATACATGCTGGCCCCTGTGCTGGAGCCCAGCTCTGTGCCTCGCTGCCTCCTCTTTATCCAAAGGTCTCAGCTTGGTTGCATTCAGGCAGAGAGGGCTCCAAGCTCTCTGGAGTTAGCAGCCCACCTGGGGTGGCAAAGGGAATGGCTGTCTGTCCCTGAGTGTCAGAGGTAGAAGGGACCTGAATTCTCTGCCACAGGTAGGGAAACAGGCCCAGGGAAGGCGAGGCAGCCTGCCCAGGGCGTCTTAGCATACTGCTGCAGAGTTACCACTCCCGGCGCATTATTTATCTCTCTCTTTCTCTCTGAGTGTTTTTGTGTGTGATTTTTTGTTTGCTTTGTTTTGCTTTATTTTAAGCACTGACCTAGAACACACTGACTAAGTTTGAATGGTATGTCTTGAGCGTCTATAAACAGAAGACTAGACCTGGCTCCAAGCAATAACCATACAATCTGCTAAAAGACAACATCCTGCCCTGCCCCCGGACTGATGCCAAGTGGGGGAAGCCCGGGTGGCTCAGCCAGCGCTGGAGACCCAGGCAAGGCTGCAGCTGCAGGACTCTTACCTTTCTGCAGAGAAACCTCCACCATGATTCTGTAATTGGGCTTGGCGGCACTGACGGGGGCCGAGGGGCTTTCCAAGGCGAAGGAGCTGCTGTCCTTGGTGATACAAGTGCTGGAGCTCAGGGAGCGGCACAGCGCGGGAGACAGGTGGCTGCACGGGGAAGGGGGCGCCATCAGGCGGGTTCTCACGGTGAGGGTGAGGAGCCCCTTTTTGGCTTGCTGAAAGGAAAGAGAGAGGGCGGCAACATCCAGAAGCAATGCAGGGTGAGATGAAGAAATACTGTTGAAGGAAACGCAGCTCTGTGTGTGTGTGAGTGTGTGTGTGTGTGTATGATATATAAATGTGTGCGTATATTCACGTGTTACAAATTACATTATGATATATTCGTATAAATACACACATAACTACCATATATATCTATATATGTCAGATGGATGAATAGATAGGTAGATGGAAGTATGAATAGATGGATGGATCAATGAATAGATGGATGAATAGAGATAGATAGATAGATAGATAAATAGATGAATAGATGGATGGATAGTGAATTGAACTAACTAGATGGAGACTCAAAAATATCTTTCAGCAATTATCTTAAAAACTTAAAACAGATTTGTAAATATACCAGGATGAATACATGGAGTGTTTTAAAAGAGTTTTATAAATCTTAAAGTGTTTTAAAACCCCCCCCCAAGAATCCTGACCGCACTATTTCTTTCTGAGTCAGGTTTTCTTTTAACCCTGTGCCAAGATCAGCATCAGCGAGGTCCCTCACGTGAAGGATCCCACAGTTTGAATTTGTAGGTTTAGATGCTGAGAGCTTGGTTTCTTTGCCTGAAGGCCCCAGAGTTTGGTCACATGTTGATAAGAAATGGTCACCTTGGGCCAGGCATGGTGGCTTATGCCTGTAATGCCAGCATTTTAGAAGACCACAGTGGGCGAATTGCAAGGTCAAGAGATCAAGACCAGCCTGGTCAACATGGTGAAACCCTGTCTTCACTAAAAATACAAAAATTAGCTGGGGGTGGTGGCAGGTGCCTGTAATCCCAGCTATCAGGAGACTGAGACAGGAGAAAATCTTGAATCAGGGAGCCGGAGGTTTCAGTGAACTGAGATCGAGCCACTGCACTGGTGACAGAGCGAGACTCTGTCTCAAAAAGAGGAAAGAAAGAAGGAAAGAAAGAAAGAAAGAGAGAGAGAAGGAA